GTTAGCTCGTCCACCCATCTAAGCAATAAAAAAAAAAGTAAAATCTCTATTTTAGATGCGCACATTCATAACATGTTTATCAATGTGGAAACTGACGCACGATTTCTTTGTGCATATGACCAGGGGCTCACGGTCAACTGGTGCCCCTTAAAGCCCATAGAAATCACTCTGTTATATACTCACTTGGCTGTTCCAATTCGCAGGCGGCGACCAAATCCGCCACAGTAGGAGTTTCGCCTACAATAAACGCAGTTCCTCTGCCTAGCCACTTAGTATCGAAGTCGTCGAGGGCCATCATCATCCGTCTCTTGTAGCCCTGTATAGTTTTTTCGTCTGATTTTCTTCCAGTCAATATTGGGTCCATATGCTGTTGGATATAGATAGAGCAATGCTTCAAAATTTAATTCGTTTTTAAAACGCTTTTATTAGCTTCAGACGTATGGTATGTTAGTATGTAACGGAATCTTTGAACATGATTTTGACCCCCTTCAAAATTTCGAATTAACTCGAAATTTGGTATACTGCTTATTAAGGACCGATGAGGATTCAATATTAAAAAAAAAAATTAAAAATTTAAGTTCGACTAAAATATGAAAAATAAATAATAGATTAAAAAAACTAACAAAATGCGCTTTTATAGAAAATCCAACTAAATTTTTACAATAAAGTCATTTTTCTTACACTATTTTTAATTCAAATTTATTAAAATTTATTTTCAATTTTTTAATTGGATTTTCTATAAAAAAGTATTTTGTTAGTTTTTTTAAACTGTTGTTTATTCTTTGAAGCTTAAATAAAATTAAATATCCGAAGATCATGGATGTTAACTCTACCTACATTAACTTTACATTTGTCTAAGTGACCAAAGTGCAATGTACTAAACTAACGACACGTGGTTTCACTTAAGTTAAAAATCCATAAAGTTGTGCACTTTTTTACAAGGATTAACACTAGTATATTACCCTTCGACTGGTTCCTTGAGTGATACCGGCATAAGAAAAACCAATAATTTATTCAAAATGATTAAAATTTTCAAGCACTTTCATTTGCATTTTTTTTTTGTATTGCCCTTGTAGGCAGACGAGCTTACGGCCCACCTGATGGTAAGTGGTTACCGTCGCCCATGGACTTCAGCAATGCATGGGGCAGAGCCAAGCCGCTGCCTACCGCTTAATACTCTCCACAACCCTCGTTTGAAGAAGGACATGTCATAGCGCTCGGGAAACACCGTGGAGAGGAGCTCATTCCATAGCCGGATGGTACGTGGCAAGAAAGAGCTCTGGAAACGCACTGTGGATGACTGCAGTGGCTCCAGGTAGTATGGAGGAACTCTACTCTGGTGGCGGACGGTGCGATGGTAAAAACGAGATGCCGGTATAATCTCGAACAATTCCTCAGACTATATTATACATATATACATATGTTCTCGTTACGTTACTTTTTGCAGGTTTTTTTATTTTATTTTGTTCGGCACTCTTAATAACAAATGACGTCATTAACGCAATGTGTGAAAACAATGGACATAATTAAACAAACTAATTACTTTAATGATCTATTCAAATGTTTTTATAAACGTGTGAACAATCAATTTTTTCTCAAATATTTATTCAATCCTTAATATATATACTTTAAATTAATAAAAAGCTGAATAATGTCTAAACAAGAAATATTTTTTAATTTTTTATATTTTTTTTCATGTTTTGAATCTAAAAATCATAACCAAATAGTGAAAGTTACGTAGTGTAGCGCCATCTATCGGCAAGTAGCAAAATTAGTCTATGCTTAATTTCACTAACGTTAATACTGCAGTTCATTTATATGTATGATACATAGCTTACAACCATGTGAACTTAACAATTTTAATTTAACTAAGATGTTCTTATAAAATAAAATCATTTGCATTTTTTTAAGAAAAACAATAATATAAATAATATGTAGCTTATTTTAAAAACAAATTTCCTTAAGTTTTTCATTACATCAAAACCAATAAAAAAACATATTTTATATTTAATACAATGGGTGATACAAGTAATGTCCTTAACAAACATGCTTGCTGCTATGTAATATAAATAAATAATAATAAATAATTTATAATATTTAATAAATACAAAAAAATTTAAACATGTCATTAATTTTTGCTGTTGGTAGTAGTACCTCTTGTGAGTCCGCACGGGTAGGTACGACACCCGGCCTACTTCTGCCGTGAAGCAGTAATGCGTTTCGGTTTGAAGGGTAGGGCAGCCGTTGTAACTATACTTGAGACCTTAAAATTCATATCTCAAAGTGGGTGGAGGCATTTACGTCGTTGATGTCTATGGGCTCCACTAACCACTTAATACCAGGTGGGCTGTGAGCTCGTCCACCCATCTAACCAATAAAAGTAAAAATAAATGAATTTTGTTGATTTTCAATTATTAAAAAATAATTCACAAAAAAAATTCAAAGAGACAAACTCATAATCAATCACAATAACTTACCACAACTCTGAAATACATGGCACAGTGCAAACGAAGACCTATATGTTGCCACTCAAGGAATTCTTCAATCCTGGCCTGAAGCTTGTATTCCTTAGAGTAAAGACTCTCAGCAATGACATTCTCTCGAGATAAATACTTCAGTATTGCAATGCTATGAGAATATATTTAATATATTAAATGATATTTTAAATTAGATATTTTAGATATTTAGACGACACCACCAATGGATTTCATGTTTATCAACCAATTCCTTACATAAAGTAGCATTTTTACTGGTGGTAGGATGCCTCATAAGCCTGCGGAGGTAGGTATTACCAACTTATTTATTTCTGCTGTAAAACAATAATGCATTTCAGTTTGAAGAGTGGGGCAGTCGTTCTGTAAGAACTGAGACTTAGATTTGTGTCTCATGGTGGATGACGGCAGAATTTACTTTGTTGATATTCATGGGGTTCATTAACCCCATAACACTACTCATCTAAGCAATTAAAAAATAATTCACAACTTTGGAAAATAAACCATTGTTATTAAATTTGTGACAAAATTATGAATGATTCAACTAATTTTTTTTATATTATTGCCTTTTTATTGGTTACTCTGCGGAGTAGAGTACCCATCTTATTCTTCAAACGATAGTGTTATGCCAGACAATTTTTTTTTAATTTACCTTTCAGTCAAAATGAAGCCATTGTGATCTATAACTGGTACTCGCTGCATTCTATTAACTTTTGTAAAATCCTCTGAATAGTGTTCCGCTTAAACAAAAATGAGTACATACTTTTAAAGTCAAACTGTTTAATTTTATTTAGAATTAAGAGCTTTGATTCGATATAATTTGCAGTTGGGTAATACAGCTCAAGCAGCTCCAATCCTTATTAAGTATATGCTATAGTTTTCTGATATAACTAATAAGTACATGAACAACTTCAACAACAAAGATCAAGTGTGTAAAATTGATTAAGCTAGGTACCTAATTTCTCCTGAGAGGTATTGCGTGCAAGCGCTGACAGTTACTACCAGGTCTACCTATTTCTACCTTGAAGCTGTCTTGTCATTCGGCTTGAATGAGACAGCCATTGTATTATACAGTAATTAAAGACTGCAACTAGGTACATGTTATGTATAATCCATTTGCAGGACACTTATTCTAATTATATTGAAAGATACCCATTGCATTTTGTTAAATCATACTAATAAATATGAATAAAAAAACATTACTTTAAATAATGAATACTATTTTTTTTTAAATTAAAAAAAAAACAGATTATGCGTAAGTTACAAAGTTCATTTGGTAAGTACTTTTTACTTATTTTTTGTAATAGGCAAATAATAATAGAGAAATTATTATTTTAATGTACGTAGAAATACTCACCTTTTCGTAAATTCACATATTTCGGCTCGAAATCATATTTCATAGTTTTTAATAATATGTAGAGTACTCGCGAAGGTTGCGACATTAAATCATAATATAGTTTTAAAACCATTTTAATTATGTAATTCCTTTATTTATTTTTTATTTATTTGATTGTTTGTTTCCACTAGTCAGCACTGCAAACCATAAGTGTTTAATCTATGCTGCAAACTGCAAAGTTAGAGCACAGACTAATCTCGAATATATTAAGTGTATAATCTATGCTAATGACTAATTTAGACTTAGTCAATGTTTCTCAAACTCAGTTTGCTCTAGTCTCTACAATGCAATTGTTCAAAGCTCAAATTAATGATGCTCCGTATCGCGTCAGAGTTTTTTTGGGATGTAGGATGCTTGTAGCCTTTTGCAGCTTCAACAGAACGGGTGCACAAATTTGAGGACTCAACCCAAAAGGTCAGGTCAGGGAAGTTGCTAATTGCTAATATCTGACGAATGATAGGTAGGTACTGAAAAGAGCCGGTCAGCAATACATCTAATAATATGGGCTAACTCTTCCTCGAACTCTGACGATTTAGCGGATACATGGTTTATGCTTTGGCTGCCGCTAGCGTTAGAACTTAGAACTAGTGGCGTACAACATTACTGAAATTGGTTAAAATGTAACCATCAGGAGTGCGTCAAGTTAGATCCAGCTTAGGTCAAATACTTGTGTATTCAAGTACTCGGATAGCTGGAGTTCTAATTAAATCGTTAGGATCCCCAGAGTACTCCACTATATAGTTATTAGTTATTACACTTGATATTAAAGATTCCAGTAAACGGTGACTTTATGTGTAAATATATAAATATATGTAAATATGTGATAAAATGTACTGCAAAAATTACCATTTTACCTAGATATGACTACACAAATTCAGGATAGAAAGCAACAATTGCAGCAACTGTTATCAAAAAAAATTTAGTGCCATCACTTAAATCATCGGTAAATTATAACTTTTTTATGTATATGGTTTATTATTATCATCTAATTTAATTCAATTGCATGTCAATTCATCATAGTAATTTAGTTTCCCAAATTAAAATGTAGTGCGTTTTATTTCGCTGCGCTAAAAGACTTGGCTTAAAAGACTAGAATCCAGGCCTTTAATGTAAAGAAGGTATTTTTAGTGCGACGCCGTGTCAGGTTAAATATTAGAAGTTTTAACAAAAAAATTAAATTTCTCTAGCTATTGATAGAATCCTTAAAGCACCGTTATTGATATGGCATCGTTAAGCTTATTAACGTCTCATTTATCTAAAATTAAATTGCCAGGACCGCATCAGCTTGTGTACAAAGACGAATGTGTATATTCTTTTGACAACCCGGTGAGTTGCATTTTTTTTTCTAACCTCTGTATTTAATGGTTTTACCTCATCTATCAATTAATTTATTTTCTAAAACGAAAAAATAAAAAACGTGTAGAGGCCGCAATTTATTTCATGAAAATTGAATATGTGGTTGTACATAAGTATGTACACACCAACACGAAGTTTCACCGAATCTTTACCTCACAGTATCATATTGATAATAATTGACTTACAATATAATGAAAGCTTTTACAAATTGTATTGACAAATAATTTAAGCCAATGATATTTAGTTTTATTGTTTATTGCTCATGGCAGCTGCTGAGATTTTTTAATGATGGTTATTTATGATCCTTAATTGCGATTTTTGTTTGTACCGTATTCTAATTCACTATGATTGTATATAAATTTATTTTAAGCTGCATAAAATATTAATTTGTCAATAACTCTCAATCATTGTAGTTTTGTGAAAGTATTTACATATAATATTATTTTAATTACTTGGATAAGAAAGAGGAATTCTAAAAAAAAAAAAAAAAAACGTTTAGATTTATTTGACCAGAAATAGTATAATAACTCTGATTAAAAATAGCTCTCCATTCCTTTACGGCAGAAATTGTTTATTCTGGCAATTGCTTTCATCATATGTGGTAATCATCACGAGCACACATCTACAGTTCTAACTAAATAATTTATAAACATCCATTTAGAACAAAAGACAATTATAAACAGCACTATAAATAATACTATTTATGCCCATAACAATAGTAATATGGTAGAAATTCTAAATAAAATTATATAATTAATGAACTGAAAACCTCATTGTGCTGAAAAACAAAATTAAATACATTTAATTTAATAAAATTTAACTAAACTATTGGATTTACTGTGTTCCCCTTAAAGTATTTTGTGTTCATAAAATTCTTGATTGCTTGATAAACATTGGCTACCACATTAAAAATTGACGTTCTCGTACCGTTCATTGAGTATGAACATAAAATAATGGACATTAACGTATCTAACACAACTGGACTCCAGAACAAGATGTTGTACAATAATTCCCTGCTTACATATGTCTTGATATTTGGTCTTTTAATAGCCATAACATGAATTTTGGTTAATATAATAGTGGAAACGGTTATTGGTACAAAGAAACTTATCATTACCAAAACAAACATATACACAAGCAGCTTTTTGTTCTCTAAATAACACACTTTTCTACATTTCCAGAATTGTTTTGGTTTTCGTATTAACGGAGCACTTGTGACATTAAACGATACTGTATCATTATTAAAATTCAAAATAATGTCATAAATATTTTTTAACACAGATTGAATATTGTCTGATGTGTTTCCAACATTAGATAGGTTTTCATATACTTCTAAGTAGTTTTCTGTAGAAATTGAGATTCGTAAATCGTCTGACAATGCTTCATATGAACAGTTATCATTCCTTAAATCCATCATGTTCATACATAAAATATCTAAATCTCGTACTTCACTCAATACTTTCTCTTTGGTATTGACTGGGTACATTGATAATGCGAGTACAATAGGAATGGTCCATTGTCCAGCTATCATGATATAAGAGACATATTCCTTACAAAATGTTGTAACTCTGAAGCAGGATGTTTCTTCATTGTGTAAATTTTCTCCTATTTCTTGTACAGTGTCTTCGTTTTCCTTTTTCTTTGCATCAGCTAAAATTCTGTAGTGCATATAGTTGTCTATTAGTAAACTTAGAAAACTATTCACTAAAGAAACTATTAACGGCCCGTAACTTGTCAAGACAGCTGGAAAACCACAATGCATAGAATTATATTTATTTGATATTTTCTCTTGAATGTCACTAATTGTAACATCACTAGGGTTCATGTTGTGTATAAAACGGGTAATAAAAGCTAAGCCGATACAGATTAGTATTAAATTTTCTGAAAGTAATACTTTAGGAAGCAAGTTATTCTCTTTTATCAGCCTTTTTAAGTTTACAAGGCTCAGAACAAATCCACATAATACTAAAAACGTTCCCAAATACAAATCAATGGCAAGAGACATTTTTAGTGTTTCTGTCTTGAAGTTTGAATTTCAAGTGTGTCAGGTACCCCNAAAAGCTAAGCCGATACAGATTAGTATTAAATTTTCTGAAAGTAATACTTTAGGAAGCAAGTTATTCTCTTTTATCAGCCTTTTTAAGTTTACAAGGCTCAGAACAAATCCACATAATACTAAAAACGTTCCCAAATACAAATCAATGGCAAGAGACATTTTTAGTGTTTCTGTCTTGAAGTTTGAATTTCAAGTGTGTCAGGTACCCCTATGCTACATTATCTACATGCAAATTGTTATAGGGGTGTTTGTATGCTTTTTTATTTTGTTATCAGCATAAGGCAGATAAAATATTGATTTTCCATTTCCTGAGTGAAAGGCATACTTAAAATTCATAAATTTGTTAAGCAAATGCACAGCACATACTATAGCAATATAAATTCGATGGATAGTTCCATATTCACATTGAAACTAGTTACATTATATATATTTACTTTTCACAGGAATCCGAGACGGGTCTCTATGTGTCCCTGGTGTCATTCTTGGGATTCGGACGCAATTACGTTGAACAGTATTTCCAGAAAACCGGAAACGCCGTCTTCTTACATATCAGAAGAGAGAAACAACCAGTAAGTTTTTGACATTGTTGTGATTCACAGATAAACATCATAATTGTAAAACTAAAATATCCTCCTCCTATTAGCCCATGGACGTCCACTGCTGGATATAGGCCTCCCCCAAGCCTCGCCACAAAGACCGGTCTAAAAAGATATATATTAGGAATTCGAATATAACGACATCCTTACTTCCTGAACTTCAAAATTGGTCTTTTCTGTAAGGAATCAAGTAGGTGGTATTCGGGAAACCTCCTTAACCAGTAGTAGTACACGCGAGTTCGGACCTATGCATTGTAAAGGAAAAGTATTTGTGCAGGCGTAAAGTATCCCTTCGCTCTGCTAAGGATTCGCAACAATATTCAAGCCAACTTCACGTTACGTGCCAAATGACGGATATGGAACACGGTGATATTTCATGCTGAAGAATCCCAGTAACTCGAATGGTTGCAGGCACTCTGGAATTGCAGCGCTTCATAAATTGGTCTTTATTCGCATTTAATGTGCAAACTTGTGTCTCCCAAGGGTCGGATTGAACTAAATTAAATGAAATCGATAAGACGTCCGGTGCATTTGTATTAAGCGATGCGCCGGTGTTCGAATCCCGCAGGCTGGTACCAATGAAATACGTACATACTTTACAAATGGTCACGATTGACCTCCCCCGTTGAAGGAATAACATCTTGTAATAAAAATCGAACCTGCAAATCTATAATTTGCATAATTACTGGTGGTAGGACTTTTTATGAGTCTGCACGGGTAGGTACCACCGCCCTGCTTATTTCTGCCGTGAAGCAGTAATGCCTTTTGGTTTGAAGGGTGGGGCAGTAACCATCTAACACCAGGTGAGCTGTGAGCTCACCCAACCATCTAAGCAAAATAAAAAAAACGCTCTCCATAATTCATGAGCTCAATACTTTAGTATCATTCCAAGATATTATGTCCACTGCCTTTCGAACACTCAACAAAAACCCCCTAAAATGAATAAAAAATTTATGTTTTTATTGCAGATCCCTGAACCAGAGCAAACAGGCGATGGTCCCGAGAAGAAGATCACCAAGCTCGCCATAGGAGTTGAGGGAGGCTTTGATCCTGAATGTGGAAAACCTAAATTTACATACACTGATCATTACAGTGTGGTGGTGCTACCAGGATTTCACACATTCCCATGGCCTGATCCTAATTTACCAGAACCTGTAAGTTGTTCAAATCAATCGAGTAAAGTTTCAAGCTTATTATATATAGTACATATTATTACACAGCACACCATGTACAGATAATGTAATTTCTTATAAAACAATGCAATTTAAATACTATAGTTATAAATACTATATGTAGAAGTTTTGATTCTCAGGTAAAGAAATCAGTTCAAGCTGTTATCGATGCAGAATCACCATTCAAAATCGCAGAATTGGCAGCATTACAAGGCACCTGGGATGGTGAAAAACGTGAAGTTTCTGTGTAAGAGTTTTTTAAAATAAAATTTGAACTTAATTTCTTTTTATGTCCACCTGGTAATCTGATGTATATCAGACACAGCCAAACTACTGTGTACCAATGACTATTTTACTAAATTTTAACTGAATACTCTTCCAGACACTCTGTTAACCTCAAGCAGCTGGACAATGGTATCCGTATACCTCCATCTGGATGGAAATGTGAGAAGTGTGACCTGACTAATAACCTCTGGTTGAACCTGACTGATGGGTCCATACTTTGCGGACGTCGCTTCTTCGATGGCACCGGAGGGAATGATCATGCTGTAAGTACAAATGCACTTATATCTACTGGAAGCACTTTTGAATGTGATGCCTTCACATTAAAAAGTATTCTTTAACTTTTAATTTAAAAAATATTCATTTTGGTCCTGTCCACCTTTTTATGTGCAATAATCTCTCTCTATTGCCAGAAAAATGAGGTTGAAAATTGTAAACCACTTTTTAATTGTTGCCCTCAAGTTTACTTATTTTATATATTTATTTAATACATTTCGCTTTCTAAGTCATTGATGTTAACGTTTTTTATTTGTATTTTACTCAAATTTCTATCCGTCAATATGAACTAACTGTGATTGCTAACTGACATGTACTGGTGATAGGATGTATTGCAAACCTGTATGGGTAGTAAATACGATTCGGTTACGAAGTATCAAGTAGTCATGGGTTAACTACAATTGAGTCTTAACTGTCTAGGCGGCGGGGTTGACGTTGTGATGTCTATGATCTTCACTAATGCCACCACTACCTGAAACCAATGACCGGTGATAGATTGCATTTTATTTCAGGTAGAACACTACAGAGAGACAGGCTATCCACTCGCTGTCAAGCTGGGGACTATTACTGCTGAAGGAAAAGGAGATGTTTTTTCGTACGCTGAAGATGATATGGTGGAAGACCCATTTCTCGCTGATCACCTCAAACACTTTGGGATCAATGTACAGCAGCTGCAGAAGGTATGCTCGATAGACACAAATATTTTTGCACAGCCAAACCTCTATATGTTTCTTGAGGCTTAAGCAACATTGGAACAATTTTTTGCAAAGTTTTTAATTGTTATTAGTGGTCCCGCAGTAGTCGAAATTCGACTATAATTAATAGAAATTATAAGTTTGAACATTATTAAGGATCTATTTTCAAAGATACTTCTGTAATCACAGATTACGACCACACTATAGACAAATAAATATAAAGGTAAACAATACCTATTAACCTATTCTCAATTTGACCACAGACTTGAAGCAATAACAAAGTGACAATAAACAAAGAGTATATATATATGTGTGTGTATGTTAAATACATGGTAGTGTGTGTAATGTGTTTTTTAAAGTATTAATAATGCATAATTTAAAAAAAATATTAGCATTCTGCACTCCTTCTCTATATTCTCTAAGTGTGGGAAATTTCATACTTCTCCGTCCGCGCAATTTTCGTAAAAAGGGGTACAAAGTTTTTGTTTCACGTATTATTTTAATATATAGATAATTTATTTGCTGCCATCCCTATTCTCATGATATAATTTTTCAGACAGATAAATCTATGGTGGAATTAGAGCTCGAGCTGAACCAGCGTTCGGGAGAATGGAATACCTTGCAAGAATCTGGAAGTGATCTAAGACCACTGCACGGGCCCGCTCTCACTGGACTCAACAACTTGNATAAATCTATGGTGGAATTAGAGCTCGAGCTGAACCAGCGTTCGGGAGAATGGAATACCTTGCAAGAATCTGGAAGTGATCTAAGACCACTGCACGGGCCCGCTCTCACTGGACTCAACAACTTGGGAAACTCTTGTTACATCAACAGCGTCGTACAGGTCATTGACACTTTGACACGCTTTTATCCAATTGATTAGAATCTTTTTTTTATGCTTACATGGGTGGACGAGCTCCTAGCCCACCTGGTGTTAAGTGGTTACTGGAGCCCATAGACAAATTCGACGTAAATGCGCCATCCGTCTTGAGATATCAGTTCTAAAGTCTCAGTTACAATCTGTTTGGGCAATGAAAACTTTCAATATAATTTGCACCAAATTCTAATTGTCTGTTCAACATGAAACTTAGCATATATATTAATGACAATACAATAAGATAATTTTATTGCTCTGGCCTAATAGTTTGACCAGGATCAACTTTAAAAAAAAAATGTATTTGATAAAATAAGAGCTATAACTGCTTTGTGTTAAATGGTCTGAGCTAATTTACCCACCTACACTAGCTAAAAGAGACTATAGAAGTGAAAAAGGTAACCTCTGCTACTGACCAATGATAGTGAAGCTTCACAAAGAGACAGGCTGTGTAAATACTATAAAATTTTGTAACCAAAAATTTAACTCATACAAATTATGTGCTTCGCCCTCATTTGCAGCAGTAGCTATCATACAGTAGAAATCCGCTAACGACATTCTCAAGATAAGTTCTCATAAATACAAGTTCGGCAGAGCGACACGATCTGCACAGCAAAACCACACGCTCAGTGCAAGAACCTTTGTCGTTCTCTCCAAACAATATCACTTCTCGTCCCTTTATGCCAGGGGTGGGCAAATGATTTGATTGGGCCACATTGCATGTCAATATTTGACCTCGGGCAAAACAGCTTTTTTTCTCATTTTATATTGTGCCACTATTATACATACTGTTATTGTTCAATTATCATAATTATATTTTCGAATAGGAGGCCCTGAAAAGAGCGGTAGTCCGGGAGAAAATTTTGGCTCCCACCGGGCCTGATAATATGTATCAGTATTGCTTAAGATTGTATCTAAAAAAATTTATGCACCAATTTATGTTAGACAAAAAATAATATTTGTGTTTTTAATAATAATATATACAATGCTTCACGGGCCAGACAAAATTCAACCGCGGGGCGCCATTTGCCCAGGCCTGCTTTATACCGATGGTACATTTTTTTTTTAAACGAAATTGTATAGTCGATAGTAAATTTACAATTGCAAGTATTATTTGTTTCAGGTGATGTTCCGAATGCCCGACTTCGTGCGTCGCTACGTGGAGGGGGCTCCGGAGATATTCGCCACCTTCCCCGAAGATCCGGTCAACGATTTTAATGTTCAAACGTGAGTCTTTGTCACGCGGTGTCTTTTATGTCATTTTTTTTTATTGCTTAGATGGGTGGACGAGTTCACGGCGCACTTGGTTTTGTAGTGGTTACCGGAGTCCATAGACATCTACAACGAAAATGCTGTCACCCACCTTGAGACATAAGTTCTAAGGTCACATTTGTACAACGGCTGCCCCACCCTTCAAACCGAAGCGCATTACTAGGCAGGGTGGTCTTACCTACCCGTGCGGACTCACAAGACATCGTACTACCATTAATTAGTGTGAACCTTAATGAATTTCACCTAAACATATTATTACGCCCGTAAGAGTAACGCCATCTGTCGCCGAGTGGCTGAGCGAATATCGAAGTATCTAGTAACATATAGAACGCTCGAGAAGTACAATGCCGTCTATTGTCGGATAGCGGAAACACACGTCGAAGGTACTTGACTTGTGAGGAATGCTCTCGACGATTCTAGCGATTTCGTCTCGACCTTAGTAATCGGAACTACTCGAACCGAATTGAGAATTTTAAAGTGTTTGTGTGTTTTAAGTGTTCTAAGTGCTAATACAGTTCTAATTTATACTTCGGTAGAAATTTTATTTATCCCGAAACCCAGCGCGTAGCAATATGTATATGTTTGTAATTAATCGTCGTTTGCAGCGCAAAGCTGGGCGTGGGTCTGCTGTCGGGCCGGTACTCGACCCCGGACCCCGAGGGGGGCCAGCTGGGGGTGAGCCCGCACATGTACCGGCAGCTCGTCGGGAAGCACCACCCGGAGTTCGCCACCAAGCGGCAGCAGGACGCGCACGAGTTCTACTTGCATCTCTTGACGCTCCTACAGGTAACACAATAAGACTAGAAGTCCCGCAGTAGTCGAAATTAGACTATAATTAACTGGAATTGTAAGTTTGTACACTATTATGATTGTATTTTATACTTCTATAATCACAAATTTCGCCAAGACTACACTATAAAAAATATTAACAAAGACAAACAATATTTAATCTCGATTTGACCACAGACGTCAAGAACAAAAGTTTGACAATAAATAGTATGCATGCGTGTGTGCGTCAAATACATGGTATGTAGTGTGTGTAATGTTTTCTTTATTGATTTAATGTATATTTTATGCATTATTTTTAAAAAAATTTAGCATTATGCGTTCTTCTCTATATTCTCTATAAGTGTGGAAAATTTCATACTCCTCCGTCTGCGCAATTTTCGTAAAAAGGGATACAAAGTTTTTGTTTCACGTATTAATATATAGATAAGAATAAAGATAAAGAAGACTTAGTAACAACCGTAATTCATATTTAGGTACATTACATTAGATATCATTCATTTAATTTTTCTTTTTTTTTATTTGCCATAAAAGGTATTGCATAATAAGCAACTATAATTAATAATTTATGTCAATAATATTTAATATATTATGTTTAGCGATGTATTTTAACAATTGATATTACAGCACATTTGTTGACATTATCAAATTACTATTTAAAAATATTAAAATATGCATGATAAATGCTCATATAAATATTTGCCTATCCATTAAGTACATCTATTTTCTACATGGATACAAAGTTTCAAGTCAGTTGGATGCATTGTTTAGTAGTTATAACGGAACATCCGTAAAAAGCACTAGATTTATATAGATACATGATGTATAATTCGTAAGTAAATAGACGATGTATAAGTATGAAATGAAAGCATAACGAATTAATTTGGTAGCTAAAAACTATTTCTTAGATCTGATAGTAAGTAGTAAGTACAACGTGAATATGAAATCGTCGATAAATATAATATTTATAGTTCTACTGGTTTAAATTAACTGCGTTTCCTGTTAGTGTGTCCCAGACCCGTTTTGTTAATAGTATGAATATCGAAGAGTGCATGTTAAAATCTAATCAACAGCGAAACAGCCGCCACAAGCCGAACCCTGCGGACTGCTTGAAGTTCGCAGTGGAGGAGCGCATCAAGTGCTCGGAGTCGAACTGCGTGAGGTACACCACGAGGGCCGAACATCATCTGCCGCTGCCCGTGCCCCTGTCCGCTGCCACCAACGTGGAGCAGGTCCAGCAGTACGAGGCCAGACGGGCCCAGGCCGAAGCCAGTGGTCAGAGATTGTGAGTCATTAACATTTGTATCATATATATCGACGCTTGACAAACGTGACTAAGCGACAATGCGTGAACTTTACAGTAGACTAATTTAAAGTTGAAATACCTGAAAAAAAATCTATTCTAATGAATCTAGCTGTAGGATTGAAGTGATTTTAATAGACCTAGAAATATATTTTTTTAGCGTATCGAATATGGTTATTGCCTATCATTTATGTACAAAGCAGTTATTGTCGCTTAGTCACGTTTGCCTTTCAAGCGTCGATATATTGTGAACTAGCTGACCCGGCAGACTTTGTGCCTCAATCTATAAATAAAAGACCTAAACTTTTGTGTAAAATAAACTTAAAACTAACAAAAAGAATGAATCCGTCCGACGGGGGACACGTCAAAGGAAAAACAAAATTGTTATCTTTAATGAATTCCGAGCCTTTTCATATTTATCTACCTTTTAAATCTTATCTGGACTTCCAAATCTACAAATATCTATATAGCTATCAAAGTAGCCAAATCTGAGAAACTTAGTGGACTGTGTCTGAGGGTTAATTTACTCGTCGTGCCCTTCGTCGCAAGCGACGGGTTCGACGAGAACGATGACCGGTGCTTGAGGTGTTTGTTACTGCTATTTTTCACTGTGTGTAGTTGTAACGAAAATAAATTACAGAATCCATCTTAACTATGTTAATGTTATTTTTAACTTAACAAGCTTAATTTACTTGTTGTCAATTTAATTACTCAACACTAGTTTATATTTCTGTTTCGTTGTGCCAATTTAACAGAGAATAACTACTGCATTATTTTGTTCCGACGTAACGACATTGGTGATACTGGCAAGAACACAGTACTGCCTAGACATTACCTGTACAATATCGTAAACTTTTTACAGAGACCCGGCCCTGGTGGTGAGACCACACATTCCGTTCAAGGCCTGCTTGGAGAGTTTCATGAGGGAGGAGACAATTGAGCAGTTCTTCAGTAGTGCCTTAAACAAGAAAGTCACCGCACATAAGTGAGTCGAAAATGTTGGGAGGTCAGAATATATCCACCGCAATGTAAAATTTGAATTGCACTACGATCTCTAAAGAATCTTACAAACAAGTTCTCAATTAAGACATTCCAACGACCGTCTTCTGACAACATATCTCCTGCAAGATTTTCATTTTGTTGTCAGCGTAACAAGAAAGTTGTGAAAATATTTATATAAATCGACTGAGTTATAACAGTGCCATTTTTAAAGTATAAATTTGAATAATATACTGAATCACGCCTTATGTTTCCGTGCGATCAAACAATTGGTAGTTTAACTTAAAAATATAAACATAAAACTCATATGACGACATCCAGTGCATCACGTTTGCAACTAGGGATTGTCAGATACCATATTTGGAGGAAGAATTATCATCTTCATCTTAGGACTTACAGTCCAGGGTGGGCCTTACCCTGGTCCAGTATGTCTCTCCAGACTGCTCTGCTCAGGGCTTTCTCCTTCCAGTTCCTGAAACCGATAACATTGAGGTCATGCTCTACACCATCTGACCATCGGAGTTTGGGCCTGTCACGACCTCTGCGGCTCTCTGGTTTGCCATACAGCAGTTGTATTGGCATCCTGCCCATCGTAGGCGTCCAATTTTTTATTTTAATTTAATTTTATAAAAATTGGAGGAAGAATGAGTAGCCCAAATTCAACTACAGCCCGTGCCGTACCGTTTACTGGTGGTAGGATCTCTTGTGAGTCCGCACGGGTAGGTACCACCACCCTGCTTATTTCTGCCGTGAAACAATAATGCGTTTCGGTTTAAAAGGTAGGGTTAGCCGTTGTAAGTATACTGAGAACTTGGAACTTATATCTCAAGGTGGGTGGTGCATTTACGTTGTAGATGTCTATGGGCTGTGAGCTCGTCCAACCGTCTAAGCAATAAAAAAAAGTGCCTTTAGCCGCACCACGTTGTCGCGAACCGCCTTACGTGAACACACTTAAGGTACATATTCGAAACCATTATTCATAAAAGTACTTGTCTCATTTCAGAATAACTCGACTAGCGACGTTTCCTGACTACCTCCTGATACAACTTAAAAAGTTTACTATCAAAGAAGATTGGACCCCTGCAAAACTTGACGTGGCCGTGGACATGCCTTGGGAGGTTAATTTCATTATATTTATAAATATCTTATAAATTATAATTTTTTTTTTTAAGTATTAAAGATACAATTTAGAAGTGAGTAACCTCACGATACGCGCCGTATGAAAGATATTATTATTATTATTAATATAAAAATGTTTCTGTCTTGAAACGAATTTTTTTTTTTTATTAACTTACTGGCACCGCTACGAAAATGCCGAAATGCCATATCGAATGTTTTAATTTCATAGTTTCTTTTCCTACCTATGCTGATAGCCTTGAGAGGCTATTTCAGCTTACCCTAGCTTGTGTAGGTGAGCTCACGGGGCTCAAACCGGAGAATTGCTAACACTGACCCTAGCAAGAGCAGTGCTTCATAGAATCTACCACCGGATCGGAAACGCGACCCACTGAGAAGATCCGGCGAGAAACTCAGTGGGCTGTGTCTGTGGGTTAATTCGCTCGTCGAGCCCTTCGTCGCAAGCGACGGGTTCGACCAGGACGGTGACCGGTGCTTGTAGTGCCTAAAAGCACCGTTAATGGATCAGGAGGATCCGTGATGACGTGCTTTGGGCGACGTCGACGGTTTACCATTCGGTCTACAGGATCGGGTATGTAGTTTCCAGCGGCCACGACAATCTCATGTCGTGCCGTCTTCTCGAAGTGGCGCAGCGATGCCGACTGTAGATACTTACTGACGGGGTCGAGCTCCAGTTCATCGTGGAGATCCACATTCCTCTGGAACCATGGTGCTCCGACGGCTATCCAGCAGAATCGGGACTGTATAACCTGACGGGGTCTCAAGTTGGTGCGGTCCGCGTGAGTGTGAACCTTCAGCGAATCCTGTTCATTACTGGGGATCAACGACCGTATTTATTCAAATGTGACATTTTAGCTGGCTAGTTATAAGTCGTAATAAATATTTATTTTACATTATTACAGGTGGATCTAAGCAGCCTCCGTGGACGAGGGTTGCAGCCTGATGAGAAGCAACTGCCCGAGGCATCCCCTGACACCCCAGCTCCTACATACGATGAAGTATTACTGTCACAACTGGTCAGTTCCGTTGTTCTCTAACAGAGTCTTTGATTCTGCAGGCTTCAATGTGGGATTGAAACATATCTTATTGTGATCCCTTTTATTTCAAAATTCAAATCCTAATAAGTTAAAAATATACAACTAATTTATTTTAGTCGTAGTAAGACGAGGGAATTATAAAAATCAACCACAGTTGATCTTTGTATGTACAGTCTGGAGCGTGTGACAGCCGTAACACACTTTACTTACATAGTAACAGTACGGCCAGCAATAAAACAATAATTAACCTTAATGCCAATCAGTTTAGTTCTCGACTTTCCTCATAATTCATCCTTTTGTAATGCTACTTTTTGGCTGGGTTTTGTGTTCATGTGCGTCAGTACCATTGAATTGCCTGTTTCGGATTGACAATGACGTATTCCGTTTATTAGGATAGTATGAACCCATCGGATCAAGACATTGATCTTTCATTTGAATTCTAATATGGTTAGTTCACATTAGTAGTTGCCTGCGAACGCTGGTGAGGCGTATACTAGGAGTGATCGCCGCCCCTATTGGAGGTCAACCATTCCAGAGCACTGTGTAGCCTCTGTTGCTGCCAGTGATGTCTATAAACCTGTATCTGTCTATACTAATATATAAATCTACAGTGGCTTTTACGGATGTTCCGTTATAACTTCTGAACCATGCATCCGATTGACTTGAAACTTTGTATCCATGTAAAAAATACATGTACTTAATGGATAGGCTAATATTTATATGAGTGTTGGACTTCCTGTACCAGTTGCGGGGGCGTTAATGATGAGAATCTTTGTGGGGGTGAGAAATAATAATGTTAATTTTAAATGCTCAGCGAAGCGGACGGGTACAGCTAGTATCTGATATGACTGTAACAGATGAGATAATTAAGAATCGTTTTTAAGCAGTTTGTCATGTTTGTAGTTTTAAAAGTAATAAAATGCTTCGTTCGACAGCTCGACATGGGGTTCCCGGTGGAAGCGTGCAAGAAATCTTTGTACTACACCAACAACTCTGGTATCGAAGCCGCGTCCAACTGGCTCATGGAACACATGACCGATTGGGACTTTGAACATAAGTTTGAACCGCCTGGGACTAAGCCTTCGGGTATGTTTTTACACTGCAACTAACGAATGTAGAGGCTTCAGCTTTAAAGCTATCTAATATTGCTAGATTTTTTTTAACTATATAGGTAAATTCAATTTATATACAACTACCCACGTAGCTTTACAACTGGTACAGCATAACAAATTTTCAATAATTTTACTTAAGTTTTATTATTATTATTTTAGTTAAAGTTTATAGTAAAGTTTTAACAACTACAGACAAAAAACGAAAACGGTCAATACTCTAGTCACACCGGCTTATGTAAAAGCTTTATAATCTATACTATAATATTATAAAGCTGAAGAGTTTGTTTGTTTGAACGCCCTAATCTCAGGAACTACTGGTCCGATTTGAAAAAATCTTTCAGCATTAAATAGCCCATTTATTGACGAAGGCTATATTATTATATAGGCTGTATAATATCACTGTAAGACCAATACAAGTGGAGTACCAGTAATAATGTTCAAAAATATTTTCACTTTCTATGTAAATGAAGTGGGGGGTAAAATTTACTGTTATGTCAAAGTAACTGTTCCACGCGGACGGAGTCGCGGGCAAAAGCTAGTTTATAATATGAAAGTACATCATTATACCGAATCATTAATTTGCTCCATTAATTCCAAGGATAGCATTGACTCCGCACACTATTTTCTACCTGTGGCCACTCCATCCGGATTTTTTTTATTGCTTAGATGGGTGGACGAGCTCACAGCCCACCTGGTGTTAAGTGGTTACTGGAGCCCATAGACATCTAGAACGTAAATTGGCCACTCACCTTGAGATATGAGTTCTTAGGTCTCAAGTATAGTTACAACGGCTGCCCCATCACCCTTCAAACCGCAACGCATTATTGCTTCACGGCAGAAATAGGCAGGGTGGTGGTGGTATCTACCCGTGCGGACTCCCAAGAGGTCCTACCACTAGTAAAAAAATCATTATACCGATTTGTACATCATTATACCGAATCGTTAATTTGCTCCATTAATTCCAAGGATCGGTTTGACTCCCCACACTATTTTCTACCTGTGGCCACTTCGTACGGATAGGTAAAACCCAGAACCCGGTTTAATTATTTGGCACCTTTAATAATAATTTACAACGTACAGATGCGGCCGTGGGTGCCAACGTTGATGAAGCAAGCGTGGAGCAGATAATGAGTATGGGATTCACTCGGGCTCAGGTGGTCCGCGCGCTTGGGGCCACGGGCGGTGACGTCACACGAGCGCTTGACTGGATCTTCAGTCGCGCTGATCAACTCGACCTGGACGAACCCACCCCGGGACCTGACAGGACACTTGGATGTAGGGACGGACCAGAAAGTTAGTGTTTTATATATTTATCTGTTTTATTTTTATTTGTATTGCATAGATGGGTGGACGAGCTTACAGCTCACCTCGTGCTAAGTGGTTACCGGAGCCCATAGACATATATAACGTGAATGCTGCCACCCACCTTGAGATATGAGTTCTCCCTAGAACTCATATCAGTATAGTCACAACGGCTGCCCCACCCTTCAAACCGAAACGCATTACTGCTTCACGGCAGAAATAGGCAGGGTGATGGTTACCTACTTGTGCAGACTCACAAGAGGTCCTATCACCAATAAAATCAGTCTTGATGTTTACATGTTAAAATAATCTTCGTTATAAATCTGAGCATTTATTCAGGCTTATATGATGTCATATCCTCAAACATCATCAAGCTAATGATGCTGTATTTTACAATTTTTACTTTATGTAAAAGTAAAGCTAAATATACATTTATAAAAATATCTCGAAGATATATGATACTTTCCATAGTTATCTTCTAATCTACATCATATGTATCTATTAATTTCAGAATACAAACTGATTGCATTTATATCCCATATGGGCACTTCTACAATGGTTGGTCATTATGTGTGTCACATACTCCATGAAGGAAGATGGGTCATATTCAACGACAATAAGGTATGTTAATAGAAAATTTAAAAGAATGGTGTCGAGAACTTATCCCCCAAATAAACTAATTGGTTGGTATTTATTGGTGTGTATTTTCATTTTGCTTAACAGTAAATGAACGTTTCTATAATTTAAGAAAGGAATTCTATAAATATTATGCTGTTAACCAAAAATAATGTACCTTGTACTATAAATTTATATTTTTATGGTAGGCAGCGGCTTGGCTCAGCCCCTGGCATTGCTGACGTCCATGAGCGACGGTGACCACTTACCATCAGAGGGGCCGTATGCTAGTCTGCCTACATAGGCAATAATAAAAAATCTGAATCCTTACAACCTGTTAAGTCTTCTCCATTGGTATCAAAAGGAGACAAGTTTTGTTGGATCGAATCATTTGAGGCATGCATAATACAATAAATGTCGCCACATAAGATAGTTGCTGCTAAAAAAAGAAATAAAGTAATTGAAATATTTTAGTATTACAAAAACATCAGTATGTCTAAGTAAAATACAAAATGACAATTACCAGTACCATATACAATTCATAATAGATATGATTTGTTATGTGTAACTATTGTCGTATACAGATTTTTAACATGATTAAACAAATTTAAATTATTTTACCTAAAATATCTTTTGTTTTTATTATTAGATCGATGTACAATATAGTACACTCTAATCTAATCAATTTTTTTTTCTTCCAGGTTGCTCTCTCAGAGAATCCGCCCAAAGATCTTGGTTATTTATATTTATATGAGAGGCTATGATTTCAGAGTCATTGATATATACAACCAAATACGTATTGGCTCGTTAGACTGTTTGAAAATGTAAGAGATTTAACAAAAATAACAAAATTAGGTATTATTTATTTAGTAAATAAAAAAGTAAGGTATAAATTATTATTTTCGTCAATGATAATTTAAGTTTACCAGAGGCACAAATGTGTGCACTGCCTCTGTCATTAAGAGTTTTATATTACGTCAAGTATACATATTGTCATACTGACATACAAAGCTTAACTTTTTGCCTTAAGGTTTGCCTTTGCAACTAAAGCAATAATAATTTATATTTGTCTTAGAAATGAATACAATGTATGTTACCTGGTAATTTAAAATATCATTGAAACTCATTAGAAAATCCATTAGTTTGTTTCAAAATACATCCATCATTGATTTAACATTGTTACAATGTCTGGTATAATTTTTAACAGTGTATTCGTTCCAGTGTAAATCTTAAATGTATAGCATTTATTTGTTTGTTCTTTGTATTTCTTTGCTTTCTTTGTAATAAATTAATATACAAATGTTAAAAGTTAAAATGTATTTGATATTTTTTCAGTTTTTGTACTGTGTTATTCAATTTGCATGATTAATGAAACATAGTGTTCCTGAATTAATGATAAACAACGAAAATATTAATAAAGTATGCTCTCTTAGTAATGTTTGTTTTATTTTTCTGTATGAATATGACTGGATTAATCAAATCACTATAAATTAATTAGTAAGTAGCGTTCTGTCTGGGTGGAAGCTCATACTCAGCAGTAGTATGAAAGGAAATTTATATTCTTTGATAGGGTTTATACTATTTCCATACCAAAATGTCTTTGAAGTTGGTGCACTAGTTTGGCACACTCACCAAAATAAAACAGTTATTAGTGCTTTAATAAAATATTGTGTGATGAGATAATAATAAGCTAGCTCAAAGTAAAATGGAAGAAAATATGTTTAACTTTGCAATAGGTTGTTTATGTACACAACAATTTTTATATTTCGATGCCTTCAGTGAACATTACGCTAACTCCAAATTCGTAGGTTTACAGGAGCGTTTAAACGAAAAAAGTTTTTTTAAATATTTTATTGCCTTAGTAGGCAGCATACGGCACGAGCATACGGCCCACCTGATGATGAGTGGTTACCGTCGCCCATAGACTTCAGCAATGCCAGGGGCAGAGTCAAGTCGCTGCCTACCGAAAAGTTGATAAAATCTTTATTATTGCAGATATATTTATGGTTTTTTTTTTGCGGAACTAGCTGATTTACTCTTGCTTCGAACCCCATCAATAATGATTTGTAATACATACTTTTAAAATAGTGAAGCAATTTGAGTGAAAAACGAAAATTTCAAAATTTTGAGTTAGAGTAGTGTTCATTGGAGGCATCGATTTGCTGTCTAACATGTAATGACAGTTAAAAATTTTAATACTGCTGAATAATTAAAAACACTTTTACCATATACCTACTACTTTATTCACTTATATTTTTAACATATAATTATAAATTCAATAGAACTACTTAGCATTAGCCCTGAATTTGAAACGCTCAGTCCACCGCATTTCCCTCTTCTTAAATATTGTGGTCTCATCAAAGTAAGTGTTGAATTTCTTGTACTCTTTCCTTTTTGTTGGATCTTTTTTAGAGTTAGATGGAGTTAAGTTGATCATAAGACCTGTAAAGTTTGATAAAAATTGTCTAGTGTTGCTTTTCAGTGCAAAAAAGATGCAGAATCATACAAATGAGATATTATACACGTAACCATATTAGCAAATGAAACCACAAACCTGCTTTCTGCGCCATAGAAACCATTTTTCCAATCTTTTTCTGTTGTCTTTTACACAAGCCCGTGATGCGCTTCGGTAGCATGCAACCGTCAGATCTTACAAATTGACTCAGGATAAGTACATCAGTATGTTTCACGTCCAACCCTAATGCACACATATAACATGGAGGTTTCTCTGAAGACGGAAGTTTGGTCAACGAGAGATCTATATTCGGCAACGGTGGGGTGACATTTGGCGGTCTTACCAGCAGTTCTGTGCGGGGAGAAGGTAGTGTAACTCCTTCAATAACAAGATTTGTTCCTTCAGTGCGTTCTCGTACTGAAAATTATTATTTTAGAAACGAAATTAGCTGTATGTAGATTATGTTATTAAGTAATTTGTAATCAAATTGACTATAATAACTCACTCTCTTTAATGTTTAATTGGTTTGTAGTTGATATAACTCGAGTAGTGGTGGATAAAATTGATTTTTTTGCTAAAGAGTATCCTAACCTTACAAGTCCCGCCATGTTTATTTACTGGAGAATTTATCACACACAGACTAGGTACCGTACACGAATTGATAATATGGATTTAAAGACAACTAAAAAGAGAAAATGTGTCGTAATTTGTTACGTTTAGGTATCTTTTAGTATAACATTTCTGAAATCTTTGCCGTGTATAGAGTGCTGAGTGCCATGAAAACGTTTTATTATTCCTGCGATAGTCTTTTTTCCTTGCAACTGGTGGTAGAAAATGGTAGAATAAAATTGTTCGTTATTTTGGTAGATGAGGAAATAGTATCCAAAAAGTTTGTTTAGAACAATACGCTTAGAATGTTATGTAGAGGACTAGTTCATAATCATAGATTATACACTTAATATATGACAATATATGTCATTGAAGTAGGAAACCTATGGAAATGAAACGTCAACAAAAAATTCGTGTCACTGTGACGTCATCTGGCCACAAAACATGGCGGCTTTAGTGCTGCCCACAAGATTTTAATGTTAGTAGGTTTTATCGATAAACGTTCTTGTCTTATTTTATTTTAAATATTGTTGAGTATGAATGTATTTGTAGAAATTATACTTTAATAGGAATTAAGTATATTGTTATGTGCAAAGATGATGTGATTTAGATATTATGTGAAATCTAAGACGAGTTCGTGCTTCAAATTTTCCAAGTAAACGATTTGACGATTTTTAAAATTTGCTACACTGATTTTATAAAGTTGTCGTTTGCCGCAAAACATAAAGATATGGCATAGTACAGTGCCATCAGCCCATTTCTAGCATGCTGAATGTTATCGTATTTTGAGTACGTGTTTTTCTTAGACTATTACAATCTATTTTAATTGTTTTGCTGACTCTAAAGTCCGCAACAGACTACCGCAGTGCACCTCAAGGAAGGTGCACCGCACCATTTGAATCACTCTCACTTGAGAGTGATTCAAATTTTAAACTTATCAAGGGACCGCCTGATAACAAAAAACACCTACAGAACATTTATTCGTTAATGAAATTACAAAGTTATTCCTTGTGACTTCCTCTCTAAAATCACTTAATTAATAAATATTTAACGAATTTACAATAGTGTTTTACTCACTGCGGAATAAAACTATTTTATTTAAATAGTTCCGAAGAGATTTTGTCGATAGCCTTTTTCCCGAAATATCTAAACAGAATGTCTAAATATGTTTTGATGACATAATATTTTAAAGAGGTATTTATGATTAGTGTCATGATGAATAGATTCCGACCGAAAAATGGTATCCGATATTTCGGATTCAAATATATTATTAAGTGTATAATCCATGTTTCGGATGAGGGCTCCATAATGAATTTAAATATATATAGATAATAGTTTTGGGGCATCGACCTTCTTGAGATCCTATAAAATATGTTTTAATTATTATTTATGTACGTTTTAAGCATGATAAAATTAGAAATTTTATATAAGCAATCATATTAAATCGATATGAAAGTCAATAAATAATGTACAACCCAAAACAGACGGCCGAACTGACGTGACAATGACATTTGGCGCGCAAAACATGGCGGATTTTCGGCCTCATTAGACGGAGACGGAGACATTTACGTATATTCATGTTTCATTTTATGTACGCACTGAAATACTGTTATATTGTTTTCTTGCGAGTTAAAGTGCTGAGTAAGAACGAGATAGATATATGTTTATGTGTGTGCCTTCAAAATGGGTGCTATTTATATAAGCAATTGTACGTATAGAACAATATGTCGTGTCCCTACTATATAGGTCTATGATATATGTTCATAATCGTACATACCTCAGGTTATCCATCGTCCCTCACAATATAAGCACGCGGCAATATAATTTAGTAATATCGCAGGAATATCAGACAGGGCAGTATCATTTGTGATCAAATGATCACAACCGAGTGATTACCGTAACCCGTACATATTATAACGTGAATCCTACCATCCAACTTAAGACATGAGATCTCAATTGTGTTGGCTATCTACGGTTGTACTTTTCAAAGTGGAACACATTAATGCTTCAAAACCTACTGGCGGTGGGGTGTGCCGGAAGCATACTTGGGTAGTTTACCACCACCTTACTAATTGGTGCAGCAAATCAGTCATTTCTCTTTGTTTGAATGTTGGGACTACCATTATACAATATAATTGTCTTCGACCCCACCTCTCAGAAGTTAGGTAAGTAGAAATATCCACAATGTCTATAATAATTACTTAGCACTAGGTGAGTCGTAAGCTCGTTCTGTGCGCTTAATGTGAGCTTTTTAACGTTCTCGATAGCGTAAAAGTAGCTCAATTTTGTATGGAGTTGGGACATTTGTCTACATTTGCCGCTAGGGGCGCTGTTCCAACTGCATACAAAATTGAGCTACTTTTACGCTATCGAGAACGTTAAAGGAACTCGGATTAAGCACACATGCGCCAAATCGCTTTATTTAAACAATACCTTTTTTTTTTATTACTTAGATGGCTGGACGAGCTCACAGCCCACCTGATGTCAAGTGGTTACTGGAGCCCATAGACATCTACAACGTAAATGCGCCACCCACCTTGAGATAGAAGTTCTAAGGTCTCAGTATAGTTACAACGGCTGCCCCAACCCTTCAAACCGAAACGCATTACTGCTTCACGGCAGAAATAGGCAAGGCGGTGGTACCTACCCGTCCGGACTCACAAGAGGTCCTACCACCAGTAATTACGCAAATTATAATTTTGCGGGTTCGATTTTTATTACACGATGTTATTCCTTCACCGTGGAAGTCAATCGTGAACATTTGTTAAGTACGTATTTCATTAGAAAAATTGGTACCCGCCTGCGGGATTCCAACATCGGTGCATCGCTAGGTACAAATGCACTGGACGTCTTATCCTTTAGGCCACGACGACTTGCTAAAATACCTAAATACCTAAAATACCTAATCTTCACTAAGACTACGGAGCTTCAACAGAAAACAAATCTTTGGATGGCATATGTTTATTAAAACAACACATAGTAACATACAAATAAAGTTATTACATTTACAATAATATGTGTTTTTAAATAATATGTTTTTAAGCCTTCTTGAATTGACAAATGGCAATTTAATCAAAACTTTTCCAACATTATGTAACGAGAAGAATATAAATTTAGTGAAATCAAATAAATAAAAAGCAGAATTTTGTCAAAACATCTTTCAATAATGTAGGGAAAAATATATACATATATATGTATATTTATAAACTTTTGTCACAAAATATACTACTGAACAGTAATATTTTTAGGCTCAAAGCTTTATCACAATGGGACATCGACATATTATTACTTTTAAAAAGATTAGGCATTTACTATATAATATAAGAAACGAGAAACTTCTTAATTCCTAAAAAGCTAAGCTGATCATCAAAATACCAAATTTTATTTATTTTTTTACATTTTACAGCGTATTTTGTTACATAGAACATTCGTGAAATTTCTAGAATAAAATGCAACGAAAATGCTAAATATAACTTAAGGACTACATACACTTAGAATAATCGGCCGAAATCAGATTACATTTTTGTGACTAACACTAATACGAAAAACTTTTATAACGTTCGTAAAATTGTTTTTTTTTTTACAACGAAATCAATATTTTGTAATGGGTATTTCTGTATCTGAAAATTATTTCTCTATGAGACCGTTGCCGGTACGTAAAAAGTATGATGAAATAAAAAAAAATATTAAATAGTTGCATTGCTCAAATAGGCTTCTTTGTCGTTAACAGAAAAACAAAAAAAAATCACTTTGTTTCAACAAAGAGATTTCTATTATGGCAAAAAAGGTCTGATCAACTGGTGGCCGAAGGTCTATGTTAAAATTAAAAATTACACTTATAATAACGTGCTGTATACACATAATGACGTGGTTTTATTTTGTTTAGAGGAAAACTAACAGAACGATTATTTGATAGATAGATATTTAATGAAATAAATAATTGTAGAATTTTTTATTATATTTTTATATACAATATTGTTATATATTATGTCGTTTACTGTACTCCAATGACTTTAAAGTGATTTGTGGATTTATTTAATCATGTTTTAGCGCTAAGTATAGCCGGGGATGCTTTTAAGCGTTGGCAACATTATATATAAGTCACTGGCTGCAACGTTTTTTAGCCTATTTAATTGCTGTCAGTTTTCCATAATGCTCGGTGCTGGGGCGTTGAAGAATTGAATCAGATCACTCTACTTGGGGAAGGCGGTCAGACCCTTGCTGAGCAGACCGGCTGCGCTCTGGGACGCATCGTGAGCTGCCGATGACAGGCCGGTCACCAACTGGAATTTAAAATAAATTTAAATTTTATTTGATTAATTCCAATTATAATAATGTCAATCTGTAACTATAGAAGTATAATATTCTTTGACAATAGAACCATAATAATGTTAAAACTTATAATTTCAATTATTTATAGTGGAATTTCGGCTACTGCGGGACCACTAGTAAGATCTGAATACACAAAACTAACGTTATCACGTTTCTCGCTCAGGTACTTGTCGGCGTCCTTGATCTTGGCGTCGACGACCTGTCCCGCGTTCCGTAGACCCTCATCAGCGGCTCCTTCGACGCGCTTGAGAGTGTTGTCCACGGTACTGGTGACGGCATTGCTGGCGTCAGCAGCGGCTTTCTCAGCTGCCTTCTTGGACTCTTCCACTGCAGCATCTGCGAAAAACATCGATGTTTTTCTGTTTAATTTTATCGATAATCGGAAGTTCGATTGCACGTCACTAGTTTTTGTTTATACGAGTGGCTTTTTTTAATGTTTATTTTATTGCCTAAATGGGTGGACGAGCTCACAGCCTACCTGGTGTTAAGTGGTTACTGGAGCCCGTAGACATGTACAACGTAAATGCGCCACCCACCTTGAGATATAAGTTCTAAGGTCTCAGTATAGTTCCAGGTTTCAGTATAGTTTCTCGCTACTAACCATATAAAGGCCATATGCGTGGTGTTACGTGTTTTTTTTTTATTGCTTAGTTGGGTGGACGAGCTCACAGCCCACCTGGTGTTAAGTGGTTACTAGAGCCCATAGACATCCACAACGTAAATGCGCCATCCATCTTAAGATCTAAGTTCTAAGGTCTCAAGTATAGTTACAAGGGCTGCCCGACCCTTTAAACCGAAACGCATTACTGCTCCACGGCAGAAATAGGCAGGGTGCTGGTACCTACCTGCGCGGACTCACAAGAGATCCTACCACCAGTAACGGTACGGCCACATAAGCCGCAGGCCCTTAAGACTACGTCGGAAGTAGATGCCTGGACTTTTACGTACCGAGTCCAAGATCCAGCGAGAAAATCTGGGTAAATACGGTATAGGCGGATATGGAGGAGAATAACCTCACTTAGGAAGATGCTGAAGACCGAGCAAACTGGAGGAGTTTAGGAAAGCGGATCCTGGTACTAGACCGGGAAAACGCGAAGAAGAAGAAGAAGAAAGAAACTTTTACGTTTACAGTTTTACTTTACAGTTTTCGTGGTCGCGGATGACAAAGAAAAGACTATAATTAAAACTACTTTTACGGTTACTGATACCGTAATTGTTGGTTTTGTGCCCTCATTTATTTATCAAGGTGAAATTACTTCACAAGCGTGAGAACAAAATGAAATTGTACTCTGTGAACAAAACACGTGTGCTGATCGCGGCCATCTTTATTTTGCTTCTATTGCTCCGATAAAATGAAGACATGATGAGGATATGATACGGTTTGTTAATTTTAAGAAATTTGGGCATGAAGCTTTTGTTACTTGTTTTTATTCATTTTTGCATAACTCCTTCATTACAAAAAAATTCTAAAAATAGCCTTTAAACCCGGAGTTTTAAGATCTAATACATTTTATAGGCACATCATCCTTCCTTCTTTGTACTTAACCCTTTCATCCAATAATGTCTTCAAATTTTAACGTAAATATCTCTCAATCGATAGAATGTACATTAAAAATTGTCATTAGAACTTGCGCTAGTCTGTCTGACTCGATCACTGATCCAGTGGTGTTGTAGTTAGAGGTCCTGACTGCTGGGCCCCAGGTATCAGTGTTCGATTCCAAGATCGAGTAAGAATTCGTGACGAACAGATTTGTTTTCTCTTTATCTGGGTGCTTAATATTTATATAGATATGTATATGAGTATGTACATATCAGACTGGTTCCTATAGTACAGGGAATCCTAGTTTAGAGCAAGATATTCAAGAAAGTCGTGGTGGCCTAAAGGATAAGACGTCCGGTGCATTCGTATCTAGCGATGCACCGGTGTTCGAATCCCGCAGGTGGGTACCTACCAATTTTTCTAATGAAATACGTACTTAATACTTAACAAATGTTCACGATCGAGTTCTACGGTGAAGGAATAACATCATATAATAAAAACCAAACCCGTAAAATTATAATTTGTGTAATTACCGGTGGTAGGACCTCTTGTGAGTCCGCACGGGTAGGTACCACCACCCTGCCAATTTCAGCCGTGAAGCAGTAATTCGTTTCGGTTTAAAGGGTGGGGCAGCCGTTGTAACTATACCTACTTGAGACTTTAGAACTTATATCTCAAGGTGGGTGGCGCATTTACGTCGTAGATGTCTATGGGATGCAGTAACCACTTAAAACCAGGTGGGCTGTGAGCTCGTCCACCCATCTAAGCAATAAATAAATATTAATATATATCTATTTGTTTACAATACCAGTCCGTTCTGGAAATATGATAAATAATTGACGCCATAAAATTAAACGCCGCTTATGGGCGGTGTTGATGTAGCAATGTTAAAAGCTAGACATGTTTCGGTGGTAATAATAAGCTTACTGGCAATTTCAAAAAAACTTATTTGTGTGTCTATTTGTTTACAACACCAATCCGTTCTGGGAATATGATAAATAAATGGCGTCAAAAAATGAAACGCCGCTTGTGAGCGGTGTTGATGTTAAAAAGCTGGACATGTTTCGGGGGTAACAAAAAGCTTACTGGCTACTCTCTGGGCTTCTTGCTTGGCTGCTTCGGCTGCTAATCGCGCCTTCTCTTTGGCGTCTTCGGCAGCCTTTAGCGCTTGTGCCTTAGCTTCTTCGGCGGCCTTCTTCGTAGTGTCTACGGTAGTGTTGATGGTATCTGTGGAAGATTTTTTTTTTCTTTTTACGATTGATTCGATGTTGTCTATGTCCAATCACTGCTGTACTAAAATATCTATTCGCTTTTAGTTAAATCTGTAATTGGACTTCAGGTTTCGTATTTCAAAATTATATTTATGATAAATATAGTAACTATCAATATGAAGTGAGACTACTGTTTTACTGGTGGTAGGACGTCTTGTGAGTCCGCACGGGTAGGTACCACCACCCTGCCTATTTCTGCTGTGAAGCAGTAATGCGTTTCGGTTTGAAGGGCGAGGCAGTCGTTGTACCGTTAAAAGTGAGATCTTACAACTCATGTCTCAAAGTTGGTGGCGGCATTTACGTTGTAGATGGGCGGGTGGATGGATGTCTATGGGCTCCGGTAACCACTTAGCATGTGGGCCGTAAGCTCGTCTAACCATCTAAGCAATAAAAAAAATATTGTACATTAATAATCAACATTCTTTTAATATAATAATATTGCGAACGTGAAAATTTGTTGGTTGTTGTTCTTTTTGTTGACAACAGAACGACCTAATGATTTGTAACGTTAATATTATGTTATGCAGTTCATGGACATAATATATGTTATTGCTAACCCGGAAAATGTGGTACGAACCGCTAGCAATAACTTATACTCAAATTTTCATTACATAATTCTAAAACAGATAAAATTATGATTTCAAAACTATATTCTTTAAAAAGCCAACAACATTTTAAGAGTTATCGGTTAGGGGCATTGCAAACCTCAAAAAAAATTTCTACTAATTAATTAAGTATTTAAAAAAAAAAATTTTATAATTATTTCAACATTACTTCAAATAAAAACGTTAAAACACGTCTCAAACAATGTTATCTGTTAATAGCACTTATGTTATTTCAATAATTAATAAAAACATGTTTTGAAATATTCTTAGATTCGAATTATTACAGATAAAGACCGAAAGAATAATGATGCTAAGTGAATTCACATCAATAAATATATCTAAATAAGGACAGCTTCTTATTCAAGAACTATTTCAAGGGTGAATTGCGAGTTAATTTTCATAATATTAAACTTTATTTATTTATTTATTAAGTTGCACCAACAAAGTGATCATCAATACAAAGATTGAACAATTGACAAAAGTTCATGGCAGATGTCACCTCAATTATAGGTGCAATCGACAGTGCATTAACAACAAAAAAAAATAAAAAAATATACAGCTAAGATTTGATTACATTTCATTCATTGCCTAAGATTAATTTATTTGATATGATAATTAATATTAATTTGATTCAATATGCCTTATCAAATTCCGGATGATAATTTTGACAGGTCACCCTAAACGCCCTGAAAATTTTCGTATTTTTTCCGGATAAAATACACTACATATTGAGGAGTGCAAGGTTATTTGTTTTTAAGCCACATTTCGCTCAATATGCGAAATTTATTTTTGAAATAAAAAATGCGGTTTATTTGGTATTAGCATCAACAGTTTAATGTTTTTAATTGAATCACAACTAAGTATACTCCATTCACAGATAGCTGAAAAATTTTTTTTGATATATTTTTTCGGAATTTTAAATTTGTATCCGGCTCTACTGCTGTAAAGTTGCAAAAATGTCGCTAAAACCAAATATATTTTCACCCGTCGATATATAATGTCTTACTTAGGTAATGGATGGGTATCACCCACTTGACAATTGACCTAAGCTTCATCACGTGACTTTTTAGTTAGCCCGTGTCAATCCCATTCACGTGCAATTTCCACAAGCGTTCAAACTAGTAGAATGTAACATTGTCTATGATTTTTTTAATTATAAAATACCTACGGACCGATGTTTAATAAGTAATGTGACCTTTGCTATAACGAATGCCCATAGACAAAACAAACATAAATATCATCGCCTCGGATACATTTGCATCTATAAAATTTACATCACAAATTTATCAACGCAAAAAAAAACATGAACCGATCTACGTAGTTCCATTTCATTTCAGACAAACATCTATCACAAATTCCTTATCAAACATATTATGTACATGTTTCAAAATATCGCGATGTACCTATACACAGTGTATATATTGTACATCAGCTATATGAAGTTCGCGGAAATGTGAAAATGTTCATGACCCTCGTTTAGTTTATGAATGCGGACGCTGTTTTCAAACAGCCACACGAATTTGACTCATAACATTTATTTAACATGGTGATATTCATTTTTTTTCCTACCAGCCTAGTAACCTCGATGGGTTATACCTAAGTTCATCTAATGTGTAGCTCATGGGGCTCTATCCTGGCGAATTTGCTGACACTATCCCTAGCAAGGGCAATGCTTCGCTGAATCTACCACCAGTGTTTTATTTGCACAAAAGAATAAATAATTTTTAATTGATCTTTATCGTTTCAATGGATATATAAAAAGTTTAGTTACGCCAAAAATCTGTATCTCACGTTTAAAAAAATATCTGTAAAACAGTTTTGTTTTTCAAAAGCGTTACCTGTTTGATTAAGCACTTTACCATTAGTCTCTATTGACAAACTCCTCACAGTGGTAAGGTCACTCTGCAACACTGCATTAAAAGGACAACGTGAAACAAAAGCGAAGCGGAAAACATGCCAAAATAAGAAACTAGTACCTTTTGCACCTTCGACGACATCCTCTGGCTTCTCGGCTAAATCTGAAGAATCTTGGGTATTAAACAGAGTGGTTGCTACTGTATCTACGGAAGAGTTAGCAAGGAAAAATTAAGAAATGAAAATGATAGTACCCACATGCAACCCCGATATTAAACACTAAATGTAATACCGAAATTTCTAAGCGTAATTAATTAATCTGTTCTAAGATACCTTTGGCTGCGCCGACATACGATGCTCCTTTGTCATACACAGATCCGGCAGTTGATTTTGTACTTTCAACGGTACTCGCTAATGTGTCTACAATAAATGTACAAGCAATGTTCAATAAACTAAACAAACGGACTGTGTTCTACTTTGTACTATTTAATGAAAAATATACCTTTAGTGCTTTCAAATAGGGCGGCACTTTTGTCTGCAGCGGCTGCAGCTACGTTTTGCGTTGCGTCTACGGTTTTAGCCAACGTGCCTACGATAAATACATAAACAAATAACGAAAATGAAAAGTAAAAAAAAAACTATCTAATAATTTTCTCTACCTTTAGCACTGTCAACGAGCGCCGCTCCTTTGTCATATGTAGAAGCCGCTGCATTTTTGGTCAAATTTACTGTGCTATGAACTGTATTTGCTACGGTGTCTACAATAATAATAATAAAAACAATAAGAATAACGAATAAATGGAAGTAGAATCTAACTCATATATATTTTTACTACCTTTAGCAGCGCCAGCATAAGACAAGCTTGTATCAACCGCTGATGCAGCTACAGTTTTCGTTTTATCTACAGTTTGTGCGACTGTGTCTATAAAATACATTGATTAAATTAATATCTACTTTGATTAGAATGAACGTTCTTATTGTATTTACTATTTATATACCTTTGGCGGTTTCAATGAGAGATGTGCCTTTCTCAACTGCAGAAGCTGCTACGTTTTTTGTTGTGTCTACTGTAGTACTAACCGTGTTTGCTACTGTGTCTACAAAATAAAAATAAAATAATAGCATTTTAAAGTACAAAAAAATAATTAAATGCAAATATAAAAAGCGAGCTACCTTTTGCGGTACCGATTAACGATGTGCCTTTTTCTACAGCAGAGCTCGCTACACTTTTCGTAGCATCTACGGTTGTGTTTAGAGTGGTTGCTACAGTGTCTACAATTGAAATACACTCAATTTACTCAATTGAATTCGAACAGATAAGCGAGAAACACTAAATAAGTATATATTGTTTCTTTATACTGATAATGATTATTCACGCTTACATTTTTTTCGAAAATATATAGCTATAATATTTGTAATATCTACTTTGGTAAACTACACTTGCGACAATATAATAAAATTTAATGAGTAAAATTGTCAGAAACTAACAAAGTTAACTAAAGAAAGTAATTCAAAATAACCAAAAAATTACTAAATTCTTTTACTTATTTATTTTTATTTTTTATTTACTACTACTATCAAAAATAAAAAATGATTTCCAATATCGAACTAAATTCCGCAAAATATTTTACAAATGTCTCTTCTAATAAAGTATTGTACAAATTACGATTTCTAGAATTTAATCTCATCTTTAATATTCAGTCAGTATATTGTGAAGGCAAAGAAACTAATCACCTTTAGCAGTGCCTATAAGAGAGGCGCCCTTTTCAACGGTCGATGCTGCTACATTTTTCGTAGTATCTACAGTGGTGTGAACGGTGTTTGCAAGCGTATCTAATCACAATTAATCACAGCTTAGTTATGTATACATTATGAATAACAAATGAATCTATTTTATTAGTGACAAATGTTATTCTACCTTTTGCTGTTCCCACAATCGTTGAACCTCTCTCAACTACTGCTGCTGCAACGTTTTTTGTTGCGTCTACAGTTGTGCTCACAGTGTTTGCTACGGTTTCTAAAATACGTGAAATGCTTAGCGGATATCTAAAGCAACATAATATGTGAAACTATTTAAGATGCATTTTTGATGTATTACCTTTGGCGGAACCGATTGCAGTTGTGCCTTTCTCGATAGCGCTAGCCGCAACATTTTTAGTTGCATCTACGGTGGCGTGTACAGTTTGAGCTACAGTATCTAATGGTGGTGAGACAAAATGATTCATAGTGCATTATAAAATTTATTACACGAATCACGGTAATTGATTTTAGTAATTTTGTGAATTCTCAATTTTATTTAATTGTTAAAATCGTACCAAAATTTATAAGAAGATATTAGAATTCAGTATCTCTTTACAACCTCTCCTACCTTTAGCAGTGCCAATAGCAGCTGAACCCTTCTCAACAGTAGCCGCCCCAAAATTCTTAGTGGTGTCTACTGCGCTGTGCACTGTGCTTGTTAATGAATCTACCAAAAATGTATCAACATGTTACTTGCAAAATTCTAACAGACAATATAGACAATGCCAATTAAAATACTACCTTTTGCTCCACCAATAAAAGATGTGCTTTTATCTACGGCAGATGCAGCAACGTTTTTGCTCGTGTCTACAGTATTTTGTACAGTGTCTACAACATTCAAAGCTGAAGTAAATAAAGATTCGAAAAACGAAAAAATACATTATCTAATTATGGATCTACCTTTAGCTGTGCCAATTAACGAAGAGCCTTTATCAACTACAGATGCAGCCGCATTCTTTGTAGAATCAACTGTACTGTATACAGTATTTGCTACATTGTCTAAAAGTAATAAAGAGATGAATAAGGTATCGCTTTTATATATTCTTAGGTAAGGAATTGTTTTCAAAATTATACATCTACCTTTGGCAGCACCAACAATAGTAGCTCCCTTTTCAACGGCCGATGCCGCAGCGTTCTTCGTAGTGTCTACAGTGCTCGCTACGGTATCTATATTATAAGTAGATGAGAATTGCAAAATGATATTAAGCTCTAATAAAATACCGAGTTAGAATTTTATATAACCGATCGTTCATTTCTCAAATCGTAATATGATATGTGTTCAGTTACGTACTTACAATATTAAACTAGTTTAGCTTTAAGTTACATGTCATGTCATTTTATCAGCCTTTCTCTGTCACCGCAAAACAAAACATATTACATACGTGCGATTATATTTGAAATCAACACAGATGAATTTTGTGATCGTTGATTGAGCCTGTACTAACAATATTCATTTCTAAACGATTTTGGGGGTGATAATAATAGAGAAAAACTATGTTTACCTTTTGCCGTATTAACATAATCCTTCCCGGTTTCCACTGTTGTATTAGCGACATTCTTAGCTGTATCTACTGTGCTCTGTAGCGTGTTTTGTACTGTATCTACAAAGTGCGATTGCTCATATAAAAAACAATGAAAGCGACAACGTAATATATACAATATGATACAAACGTGTGAACAGATTACCTTTAGCGGAATCAACGTATGTTTTTCCAGTTTCGTAAGTGCTTTGTGCTGTTTTCTTTGTAGTGTCTACAGTGTTCGCTAGCGTGTCTACAGTACAAGAAATTTAATTTAAAAAAAAACAACCATTTCTTACGTAACGAAACTACACACAAGTACAATGAAAATACCTTTAGCGGTTTCCAAGCAAGTTCTGCCAATATCTATAGCGGAATACGCAGCGCTCACATACGAATTTAATGTTGTTTGCAGCGAATCCTGCGCTGTATCTAAAGCATTAATTAGCAAAACACACAGTTAGTGATTGACGCACGACATATACTAATATACCTTTAGCACTATCTACGTATGTTTTAGTCGTGTTCGATGCAATGTTCGCAGCGTTCTTTGTGCCCTGAGCGGTACTCTGGAGTGTGTTTGATACTGTGTCTACAAAAGAATAACATAATTTGGATGTGATTTTTGTATAGGTGATTTCGTCGATTGATTTCGTCATCTTAATTACAGGGTTGTGTGCCTTTTTAGATAATCATAAGCGCTAAATAATATCGTGTTTATAGTTAGTAAGTCTAGTTGATAGAGTAATAGAAATAACCGTATTCGCTTTGAAGGGTAAGACGAGAATCATACCAATATTATAAACGCGAAAGTTTGTAAGAATGTATGGATTTATGTTTGTTACTCTTTCACGCAAAAATTATATGATGGATTTTGATGAAACTTTACAATAATATAGCTGACACATCAGAATAACACACAGGCTATAATTTATAAAGATATAATGTAAATTACCAAAAATATAACGGTAAGTGTCAAGTAACTAGAAAAAAAGAACTGCCGTCTTATTTTGATAAAAAATAATAAATTACAGTTCCCGTAATAAATAATTTATCTTGGGTGTGTTAAATAAGTGATACTTTAATAATTTTAATTTTAATTAGTGTGATTGAAGTAACTTTAATTTTATAGCAATCTTATTAGTGTTACTACGAATATGTGTATAGGTTTTTTTAAAGTTTAATTTTGACGATCCCCTCGTCCTTAATAGCTTCGATGTGCAGTGATTAGGGATCCAAGTCCTAGCTAGTTTCGAGTTCGGAATGTTTGACCAATTGACGACATGAGTAAAACAATTTTTGAGGAACAATTACGTTTGGTTTTCGTGTTATCGATACACTAAGATGTTCTAGTGTCATTTGGTTGTGTCCGGCATCTAACACAGGAAAAGGCTTTAAACGAAAATTAAAAATTAATACATTTTGCACGTTAAATTTAAGCCAATAAGGTACAACTTGCCTCTAGCGCTAGCCGCAAACGTCTTGCTTGTATCGAATGCGGATTGGGCCGCCGATTTCGTGTTCTCTATACATAATAAAACAACATAATAATAAACACTTAAATCAAATAGAAAAAAAGAAAGAAAAGAAACTCGAAAAGTTAAGTTTCCAGCACCATTACTAATAACAAATGCGCATGCCTTATTTTTTATTAATAAAGAAAACGATACTAGAGGCATTATCACAATTAAAAACAATATTACCGTTCAAGCCAATATTGGAGATATATGATAATATAATACTCTAGTGCAGATAATATAATAGTCTAGTGATACTGCACAATTCACTGTTTTACCAATCTATAGACTGGTCTTGATCATCTTTGTCATTTTACTGAAGTACTTAGTCTTTCACAGAACAATCTTTCCAATCAAACCATCGTTACAAGCCCCTTATTTTATAGTAGATTTTTAACTTATATCACTTTCCAAAATATATATTAGGCGTTACATAATTTCTACTTCAAATATATAGCTGTTATTGGAATAATAGATAATGCCTTTAGTATGGTCTTTGATTTCACCTGTGGCAGTGTCGATGTACGATTTTCCGGTTTCCGCCGCGGTCTGAGCAGCCGATTTAGTACTCTCCAATGTACTACTGACTGTATCTACGGAGGGTGCAAATAATATTCAAGATTTCGAGCTAATTAAATCAATATCGTTAAATTCGAACTCACCTTTAGCTGTGTTTATTGCGGACTCGGCAGCCTTCTTGGTATTGTCGGCGGTGGTCGACAATGTATCTAGAATTAGGAAAAACCAAGCAAACTATACTATCTACGGAATGGCTATATTCAATACAACAATCTACTGCAATTTGATGATAGCAAATAAAAATTGCGTTTCTCATTAAACTCAAAATGCGTGTGTGCTGAACTACGTATGTAATTATATTGATTTTATTATTATAAAACAAATTCTACTAAGTAGTTATATTGCCTAAGGGACTATTGCAACTACGCGCGGATCGGTAGGTGAGCTCACGGGCTCAACCCAGAGAGATTGCTAAAATTGGCTCTAGCAAGAGTAGTGCTTCGCTGAATCTACCACCAGATCGGAATCGCGAGCCACTAAGATAATCCGGTGAAAAAGTCACTGGTTGATTCTGTTCTTTTGATTCTTTCTTCAAATGGGTTTTTTAAAACATTAATATTTCCATTGCAGGCGAGCATACTACGCTGCTGTTAGTGCTGCTAAGGATAAAGCCGCATTCACTTCAAAACTTTATATTTCCTTAAGACCAGAGACCCTTAGGCGACTGCAGTCTGATCACTTTTTATGAGACTGCGATTACTTCAGCATCATCCATCCCTAGTAGTTACTCGTCTTCGTCTCACTTTTCCTAGACTACTTCTACTCTAATACTGAATTCTACAATATTTTAAGAATCTACTGTGCTTACGGTGTGTTCATGCACTGCACTTAAATAGTTTGGATTTGGAAAAGAAAAAAATGGTTCTACGAGCCTTGATTTCTTTAAACTGGTACTTCTTGATGCGAAGGTAGGCTTAACACTGCATTTGATGTCACTATTCAGGAGCAAAATATGTGTACTTTCGCTGGACTATGAGCGCATAGTCCATTGGTTACAAAGGCTAACAGTAATTTTATTACCGGATAATTTCCTTACGATTTCGTATCTTAATCCTAACCTTACCTTTCGTAGTGTCAAGGACCTTCTTCCCATCAGCTACGGCTTTGTTGGCGGCGTCCGCAGCCTCTCCTGCTGCAAGCGACACCTTCGAAAGTTCCTTGTCGATGGCGTCGATTGCGGAGTGCTTGGCATCGGCAGCTGTTGGCGTAAGCGAACTTTTACATTTTTAACAGATCAGATTATGCGATTTTGTACTTTTACTAAATCACAAAAATGTTATTTTTCAACTAGCAAAACAGACGAAACATGATTCGTTCTATTAAACAAAGGACGGTTAAGGCGAAAACCAAGAAGGCTACGGACAAAATGTAAGTATTTTTTCACAGACCAATCTGAATCTTTATAAAGCCGATGAAATTCTCATCACTGATCCCAAAAGCTATACTCAATTCATTTAATTTTCTTTTGGTTATGAAATAGTTGTATACCCAATTTTAATTCTAATTCTCTTCTGGTCACTTTACCGATGATAGAATGATAATATTAAGTTGAGTTAGTAGTTCGTTGAGACAGTATCAAGTCTATCAGGTTGTCACAAAAATTTATACAATTACATTTATTTTTAAACAATGTAAACTTAGAGATCGAATTCAAGGTTGCCCAGAGCACTCAAGGTGTCTGTGTCCTATATATTCTTAGATATCAGATGGTCTCATTATTCTTAGCTCATTTGCCCACGTCAATTAAAAATAGACGTACTTTCCAAATAACAGACCAACAAACTTGATACTTTTAATTCTTTGTAATTTCTTCGGATATCACGAGTCGTAGATACAATTAAAACTTACGGTTTTAATTTCGCGTTTTTTTTGTCTTCATTGAATTTTTTTAAACATTAAAAATGGTTTTACTTATATGATTATTTTATTGAAGAATCTCAAATGCAATATTGTTCTATTAATCTTATCGATACATCCGAATCAGTATCGCATTACATAAGTTCGATCTTCAAGAGATCTACTACTGGGCGAGGTCGTTTCCTTGTAATATGTCAAGTTGTCAAGTGGTTCTTGAGTTACGACATTATCTTATGAATTTATTAAACACCTTATCAATATTACATTAGTGGCATGTTGAGATTTTAGGTGCTTGGCATCTGTGGTTTAGGTTGATTTGTGGGGAATAAAAACGATTTTTTTTTTATTGCTTAGATGGGTGGACGAACTCACAGCCCACCTGGTCTTAAGTGGTTACTGCAGCCCATAGACATCTCCAACGTAAAATGCGCCATCCACCTTGAGATATAAGTTATAAGGTCTCAAGTATAGTTATAACGGCTGCAAGACCCTTCAAACCGAAACGCATTACTGCTTCACGGCTGAAATTGGCAGGGTGGTGGTACCCACCCGCGCGGACTCACAAGAGGTCCTACCACCAGTAATTACGCAAATTATAATTTTGCGGATTTGATTTTTATTACACGATGTTATTCCTTCACTGTCAATCGTGAACATTTGTTAAGTACGTATTTGATTAGGAAAATTGGTACCCGCCTGCGGGATTCGAACACCGTTGCATCGCTAGATACGAATGGACCGGACGTCTTATCCTTTAGGCCACGACGACTCTCACTGGTATATGATTTATTTAATTGCGTATAATTGATATTACCTGAGCTAGCAGCATCGTTGGCGGATTTCTCGGCTCCACCAATAAGCTCGCCCGCCTTCTTGACCTGGTCTTCTACAACGTGGGCGGCTTCCTGTGCCTTCTCGGCGGCAAGTTGCTCTGCATCCTTCTTCTTCCTGTCGAAGAGAGATGCAGTCTTCTCGCCGATGCTACGAAATGCGCCTGTTAACGTTACAAAGAAGTCTTAGAAAACAACTTTTGATAGACATTTGTATTTAGATGAATTCAAAATATATCCGAATGATTAATTTCACGTATCAATTATTTTCAGTAAAGTATTTAAAGTAAATCACGTTTCAGTAAATATTACACGCATAATTATCGTAAAAATCGTTTACGATTTCAATTACAGGATTTGAACTTTGCCCGAATTCTATTGTTTATCAGTTTCGTTTTTAATGATAAAAAAAATTATATCTATTTAACTACCTACTACTTTTTCCTCGATAATTGTCCTAAATACACCAATATTGACGGATTAGTACTCGTAGAGGAAGTGTAAATTGACAATATTGTAGTAGAAGAACGATCGCAATAAGCCATCTTATCTAGTTTGATGAAAGGATCTGACAAAATAATCAAAGTTTGATCGAGTTTTAAATTCAACTTTGCATAATGTGCATACGTTTTTGTAGATAAATTTTGTCAAAGTCAAATTAAATTGTTAGAATAAATTATTCCTTACATATACGGTAATAGTAATTTATTTTCACTACAAAAATTCACTTTATCGCGATGTTTGTTGCGTGTTATGCCATTATTGATTTTATACATGTTTTAGTTGAACACAACAGGTCAAGGTGATTTTGTTCACGTACCGAACAGCTGTTTGTTTTTTCATTTTTATATATTTCAAAACTATCGTAATTAATTTGTAGTATTTTTTTCTTTTATTCACAACATTAACCGGTTCGTGATTTTGAATTTTGCACATAGAGTTTTAATATCACGTCTATTTTATAATATAATTTGCTACTACTTAATAATAATGTTCGTTATTTTCTACACCAAAGATTTAATAGTCAATGTGTCAATGTCAAACATTTTGGCGCGAAACATTATGGTCCGGCTAGGTTTGAACACAGACGGCGCATATTCGCGCGATTTTTTCGGGAAGCCACTGTTAACAAGAATGACGTATAAAATACGACGTAGACATATTTTCGTATTTAACGACTCATCGCTGTATCAGTGGAACCGCCTCATTTGTAGATTCAGAATTGAATAGAGAATTTTAGTTTTTGACTCAATGAACAGAATTTTAGAGAAGGTTTTATATAAATAAACAATTTAAAAAAAAAATGCGAAAGAGACGTTCAAAAACAAGTAACATTAAACGGACACAGTTTTTAGATAACAAAGTTCATTGTGCATCTGCAGTATGGAGTGTGGACTGCATCAGTGCGTTTTTTGCAAACGACTTCGCTATTATCTTACTCAGTATGTATATAAAATTGCTGACGACAGAAAGCCACATCAATAAACTTTTTAATTATTTGTCATCGACTGCACGTCCTTAATAAATTGAGAACAAAACTTTTGAGAGAATATACTGCGTAGTTGGCAAACTGCGTGATTGCAGCCAATTGTTTTAAAGAATGCAAACTGTTATGTTAATACATACATACAAATAAATAAATACGTATGTTCTAAAAACAATTTATAATTTTGCATATAAAAAAGATAATTTATTATTAATAACGTCACTTTATTGTTCAAAACAAAATGCCTTTGCAATAGTTGTCAAAACATTTATAAGATTTTCTTAATGCAAAAAACCTTGCCTCTTTTTTTTCAGAGTAACTTTCATTTTGATCTAAAGTATGTATTTTTAACCATAAAGCCACGTACGCCCACACACACGCCAGTATCTGACGTTTCCAGTACTCGTGTGGGCGCGTTCAACATGTAACACGCTTGTTTTTGTTTAATACGTGAAAATTAATAAATATGTAATATTAATTTTGTTTTTCGTTTAGAGTTACCAAAAGAATACCTCAATGACTATCGAATTATAATAAGTGTGTAATGTTAACACGTACTCAGTAACAAATATATAAAAAAAAAAGGAAATTAAGTGATCGATAAAACAATACTCACTCATAGTGACAGTTCAAATTAACAACGGACACAAAACAATTAGAAAGAAGTTTTGATATATTTCAAAGAGTATTTACGTGTGATCTTGACAACAACAAGGAATAAATGATTTAAAAAAAGAACAACACGTTTTAACAGACATACGTTGATACAAACAATTAGCGTGGTCTTGTTTTTAGTAAAAAATAAACAATCCCTGAAAATAGTCGATAGAGAATGTGCTAAATAAGTATGTGAAACATGTTCGAATGTATATTTATGGTAACAATTTTTAGAACTCACCAAGGTTCTTGTCTTTCGGTATGCGTGGAAATAGATACCAAAATTCATTATAAAATCACTTTCAATATACAAAAATTCTAATTAACTACCTACGTTCTTTCATTAGCGAATGTATACCATTAGCTGCTACCCTAATATTAGTGTTGTATTCGTAAAATTCATCCGCATGCATGAATATCGATTGAAATTCAAGTATCAGAATCGACACTCAAATTCCTTTAGGAAATTTTCCAAAATGGCGCTCGATATTAATTGCCGTGGAAATACGATCTAGGCGTGCCATTTGTCCAATGATCTCGAATTGTTTTTCTACTAACCAACCAACGTTATAATAAAATTAATGTATGAAAGTGTGAAAAATTGATAAAACTCGTGCACACTACAAGCTACATCGTTAATAAACAAGAAATCGATTTAAGCATACGTATTTATTCAATTTTAATGAGTAGTCTAGCCAAGGCTACGTTTGATACGAGGAAACGGGGAAACTATTTAATGGTTTCAGCTGTTTGAATGTACAAAATGAATGTTTTACTAATGCTATCGAGACTTTTTAATATAATAGAGGAACAAACAGTTTAATCGATTGAATACATAATGTATAATTCGTGACGTAATTGAAGTCGTCGTGGCCTAAAGGATAAGACGTCCGGTGCATTCGTGTTGAAGCGATGCACCGGTGTTCGAATCCCGCAGGCGGGTACCAATTTTTCTAATGAAATATGTACTCAACAAATGTTCACGATTGACTTCCACGGTGAAGGAATAACATCGTGTAATAAAAATCAAACCCGCAAAATTATAATTTGCGTAATTACTGGTGGTAGGACCTCTTGTGAGTCCGCGCGGATAGGTACCACCGCCCTGCTTATTTCTGCCGTGAAGCAGTAATGCGTTTCGGTTTGAAGGGTGGGGTAGCCGTTGTAACTATACTGAGACTTTAGAACTTGTATCTCAAGGTGGGTGGCGCGTCAACGTTGTAGATGTCTATGGGCTCCAGTAACCACTTAACATCAGGTGGGCTGTGAGCTCGTCCACCCACCTAAGCAATAAAAAAAAAAAAAAAAAAAAATAATAATATATAATAATGTTTTGGAAAACATACATATGTTACAAAATGAGATCGCATTTGTCGCTTCGCAGAAATATTGGCACTTTTTTTTTTAAATAATCATCCTCAACTGTTTTAATTAAAATTGAAAAGGGCAAGAATGATTTAACGTTTCCCTGTATGTATGTAAAGTTTCGAGATGTTTCCACAATACTCACGCTGTTCCTTATAGCACAATTGCACAATGGAAATAACTATTTCGCTAAAAAAATATATATCTAGTTTTTTTATTCGTTTGCTTTTGAACATATAATATGTAGAAATGTACAGCATCAAACTATATAGTTATTTGTATACGTAGATGTTTGAAAGTATTTACGTTAATTAGTTTGTTGTTCATAGTAGGGGATCCTACTATGGGGCCAGAACTGTAGATTGAAAGCGCCAAGATTTAGGTTAGGTACCTAAATGAGTAGATTCACATTGAATTCGTTCCGCGTCTTATCTATTAATTAAGTACATACGTATTTTTTTTTTTTTTATTTATGTACACACAGAAAAAAAGACATAATACAGAGTAATAGGAAAATTATGTACAAAGGCACTGTTTATTTCTTAGTAAGTTGATTACCAAAAATACCTATATATATTTACAATTTTAGATTAATTCCCCCAAATCTACGGCACTACACTTCGACAAATTCGAATTTCTGCAACAATAATAATAATAAAAGTATTATCACCGCACTGATAAAACTGAATAAATAGTACCGCAGAGTACATTAGCGGGATCCACTCGTATTTATTTCGAAGCATCAATCATTGTTACGAAACTAGAGTGCCCGAGCAATGATCCCAGTGCGACCGACTAAACGCACTATTTTAAAACGTTAAAATTTAGATCGTGGTACTTATATACTGTTTTCCGGTATCTAAAAAAAAAACACTTAACTTTTTTGCTGCGTTATATCGATAGAAGAGATCACGTTCTGTATTTGTCACTGGAGCCCATGGACATCAAAAAAGCGAACGAAGCTCACTCGAGGCATAACGTCCAGGTTGCACGCTTCGAACCATACATAAAATCTGTTTCGCGGTAGAAGTAGGCGGAATAGTGGTAGGTTTCGTGGAGAGTAGTTAATGGTAGACAGCGGCTTGGCTCTGCCCCTGGCATTGCTGAAGTCCATGGGCGACGGTAACCACTGACCATCAGTTGGGCCATATTTTTTTTTCTTATATAAGCTGAGAGGCTTGAGAGGCTATTTCAGCGTAACCTTAACTAGTAGGTGAGCTCACGGGGCTCAAACCTGATGTCGTTGCTAACACGAACCCTAGCAAGAGTTGTGCTTCGCAAAATCTACTACCAGATCGGAAACTCGACCCACTGAGAAGATCCGGCGAGAAACTCAGTGGGCTGTGTCTGTGGGTTAATTTACTCGTCGAGCCCTTCGTCACAAGCGACGGGTTCGACTAGAACGGTGGCCGATGCTTGAGGTACCTAAAAGCACCGTTCGTGGATCGGGAGGATCCGAAATGACGTGTTTGGGGCGACGTAGACTGCTTTCCATTCTGTCCGCAGGATCGGGAATGGGGGCCGTTTGCTCGTCCGCTTACAAGGGCAATAAAAAAAGGAGGACCATCTCAGTATGTTAAAAAGCGTCCGCTGAAAGCGCCATAGTAGCAAGTGGAATATTTTAAAAACAGCGCCATAAACTACTTACATATTAGAGGAGGATACCAAATTAAGAAGAAAAGTAACATTTGCTATGTAAATAGTAATAAAAATAAATAATTGAGATTTTAAACATGTACTGCTTATTATCTAACTATACAAATCACAAAAATATGATTTTTTTCCACCCAGCACACTTCAGTCCATTTAAAACTGCTATGTTCCTATTATCATTTCCATTTCTTAAACTAGCGCTATTTCGGTGAGTCTTCCAACAATACCTTGTTGTTTACAGTGGATACTGTTTCCCCTTGTCCCTATACAAGATTGTCTTCCTTACCTATACCCTCCATATTTACGCCACAGAGTCAGACGCGTGCACAGATAATACATACACTTAACGACCCGTGAGTAAGAAAATTACCATATTCACAAGCGCTTTATTATATCGCCTATAAATAATTGAAAACAGTAATAATATTGGCATAAAATAATATTATGTATTTATTTATAAATAATACGTAAATTTTCAATGATAGGCTGTAGTTATTATCTCATAATATGATAATAGTTATTATCTCATAATATGATGATAATATGATAATTATCTATGGATTAATTTTTTTTTGCTTGTTGTTAAGCAATATTAATCCGAATATTACACCGTCTTATCTAGTTTCCAATTGGTACACATATATCAGTATTCGATGGGTATTTTTAGGATTTACCACGTAACTACTATGTAAACAGCGTGTTTCGCGATAAAACACTTTAGTTATCTTTATAGATATTTCCGGGTGAAATACGGATGCGTTTTTAGCTTGTAGGAACAGAAATGATAATGAATTCCGATATTAAACTTTAAGTTCGCCAAGCTCTGTCACAACTGGGCATAGATTAGGCGAGCCAGAGGAACAGAAAATTTGGTATCAACCACTAAAAATGTTTTCAACACTTTTTGGTCCACTCTGTAGTCACTTGGCGTAGTGACTTCTGTATTTGACCGTAGTGTTTCAGTAAACGATCTTAATATGTAGTGAAAAGACCATAGATAATTTAGCACCATACGTTTATATTAGATAAATATAACTTTAATAAATAAATATTTAAATAAATATTTACTAACAATCACGCCACATTAACTGGTTCCGTGATAAGTTCGTAAAGAACTTGTGTTACAAGTACCAGATAACGGAAATAAATGTAAGATTTTTATTATACACATACATATATTTAATATACCTCCATAACCCTGGAAAAGACATTTATATAATTTATCATACAAATATCTTCCCTTGGCGGGATTCGAACCCGCGACCCCCGTATGTAGTGACCATGTCACTTACCACTACACCAGACGGCCGTCTAATACTTCCATATATAGTTTTTGTATTAACTAGGTGTGAAAACTTTTTGTTGTTCCATATGGAAGAAGAAATTAATTTAAATTATGGTGTAGGTACATACAGTAACCAATAATATAGGCATACTAAGTTAACGGTATCATCAGTGTGCTTAGTGCGAGTTTTTTAACGTTCTCGATAGCGTAAAAGTTAACCCAATTTTGTATGCAGTTGGAACAGCGCCCCTAGCGGCAAACGATCCCATTCCATACAAATATGAACTAACTTTTACGCTATCGAGAACGTTAAAAATCTCGCACTAAGCACACAGATGTCGCATCGATTTTACGCATAAGGCTTTAAATGGCAAATTTTACTTTTAATTAATTCTGTTACTTGTAAATCAGTTTTAATTCAATAGTAAATTTATTTTCGGAAAGTACAAAATAGTTTTAATTGAAATATGATAATAGAAGCATAGATAATAATACACTTAATATTTAGAAGTACATATAAGTGATGTTTTTTTTTTATTATACCATCGCTAAATTGGCACATAACTTACAAACAAGAATCCTTGACATGTTATGACACAATAACTCGGGTCGAGTTACTCGTGCAGATCATATCACCATAAAATAATAATTAAATACGACTTCATCCCATAACGTGGTTAAGGATGTATGCTATGCTATGCTATGCTATGCTCTTCTTCACTATGTATTCGAGATAACACGTATGATACAATATTTCACGAATTTTGGTAGATTTTGTTCGTTTTTAAACTTTAAGAAATTACTTCAACGCACTTATTACATCTATCACGAAAACTGAATTATTCTAAATTGGATGACTGCTTACGATACACTGCTTAATTAAATTATAATAGTTTTAGTTCTTTTTTAAGTAATCCGGTCCTCAGCAAGAAAAAACCGGAACCTTCATT